CTAAATTAACCAGAGAGATGGCACCAAGATACCAAATTCACACAGTATTTAGATGAGGCTACTAAAGTTCTTCCAGAAAGTATAAACTTGATCTGGGAAAACAACTGATATTTCTCTGGCTTTGTAAATGTTTTGCAGCCCAAGATAAGCAACCTAATGCTAAGCTCAAAACCAAAGAAAATTACTACAAATGCATCTGTCACATTATATAATCACATATAAATCTCTTCACCAGAAAGTGTAACACTATTTTCTCTGCAGAAAGCCAGCTTCACATTAGCCAAGTTCAGTTTTGAAGCAGTTCCTGTACCAGAATTGGCAGAATTTGCCCCCCCATAATAAAGCTTGACAAAGGGAAGTTTTACCATCACTCATTCTTTGCTGACAGAAACCACTGAAGGATTTTTTAAAGACTCCAAACAATCCCCCTATACACACTTGCAAAAACTGATAGTCAGAAGCCACTGAACTGGGCTTTGTATTTTTCCAGGCATCATTTCCATAGAGTCACAGCTTTAAGCTTTTGGAAACTGGCAATAAACAAAATCATTAACTATTCTTTTAAAGACACCAAAGCATTCCAAACTTTATTTCCAGGTGATAAAGACTACAGACCTTTGCTGCAGTGTGTATTTTGGATTCATATTTTTAAGTCGGAAAAAAAAAATCATATTTGAACAGTTTCCTTTAAACTGATTTAAGTAAAGAAGCTCTTAGTCTGTTCCTTACCAGAGAAGTAAGGAAGAATTGAAAATGAGATCTTTGCTCACTTGTATCAATAAAAGCTTTTTTTCTTCTTTTCACAGGAAAAGAGTGTATTAGGGGAATACACTGAAAACACACGACATTAGAAATTAAAACTGGCAGATGCTACACGCCATTTTTGAAGCTTAAAGACATTTTGTATGGCTTAAAAACACATCTCCTTAACTCTTCAAAACTAAAACTGATGATTCAATGTACTGTTAAATTACTGACATATGGCTCTACTTGTCACTTTGTATTAAAAATGCTTCTGTATGTGACTATAGTGAGACAAGGAAAAACCACAGAAATACTTACATTGCATTTACTTTGTCTTCTGGGCCCTGAACTTGGCCTGTCACAGTTCCTTGACTGGTATTTTTAACCCAGCCAACCACTCCTAACTTCGCTGCTTCCTGTTCTGTGTACTGATTCACAAAATAATGAAAGAGGACAGTCAGTGTCAGCACATACACCACACGCATATCACTTAAACCCCCACTTTCATTTGCATAGTTTCATTTTCATAGCTTTAAGACCTACACTTAAAAATCCACGATGATCATACTGAGGCATTAAGAGGCTCCTGTCAGCTCTGAACTTGCAGCAGGAACAGCCAACTTTTGAACAAGAGTGAGATTTCACATATGCATAATAAATGTGAGTTAATTCCCACTTCCATTTTCACAGCTTTAAACACTTCTATTAAAGAAAAGAAATACACACATCATGGCTCCCACCAAGACATTATACCGCTCACAAAAGTCATCTTCCTCTATCACAGGTACATGTATAGAAGCCTCCTGATGGTGTGAGGCTTTCTTCATTTACAGAGGCTGAAGTCTTGCTCCCTTACTTAGAAACTTTCAACAGTTTCGATCACAAAGAACTCTACTAATAGCACACTACTACCTTGTACCTACTCTATTCCTTTCTTTAGTTCCTATCACTGCCCATTTCCCTCTTCAGCAATCACAGTGTCTAAACTTATTAAATTTGCTACATGTACGAACCTCAGTTTTTCTCCAGTTTCATTTTAAATCCTTTCCCCTTTAAAATTCTACCCCAGCTGCTGCACTACTACTAAAAAAAAATAAGGTTATAATTATAGTGGTTTTCTAGTATTTTTGCAATACCACAACAAATTACAATTATTTGCCCAGCTATTCACTTCTTGTGATAAAAGCAGGAACTTCCAAGTACATTGTTTTTGAGGTGTGGGCTGGGGTTTTTTTAGGCAATACCCAAAACAGTACACAGATAGCAGATGGCCAACAGCCAAGCTTCAGGTTAATATGATTACATTTGAAAAGGCAAAACAAATTTCAGGGTAATTTAGCCGATGAAAAAGCATTACTATTATGAAGAGCATTTTTCAAGAGGCTTACGAGCAGTTTGCCCATGCTAACTTGTCCAAAAGCAACTTTTAGGTCTTACACTAAGTGTAGTCCATTATTCCAGACAACAAGCTGTTCCTATTGGAAATGTGCCTTCTTGTTTCTCAGGTTCCTGTGAAATTCAGAACTACCTGCTGCACATTCAGAGCTGAAGGAGATATTCAGCTGGAATACAAGCCACAGACTGCACGCTTGTAGCACACTGTTACCAGGAAACACAATGAGTTTCTTAAATACAAGTACTATAATTGCAATTAAAAAAAGATTAAATTGGAACACATTGTTTCAGAAGCCAGCATCAAGAACTTGGGGCTTAACCTTTCTAAAGATTAACTTGTTATAACGTCCTTGTGGCCACACTGTCACAAGAAACCCCAACACAACCTTTAGATACTGTACAAACAAGCAACACGTTTAGTAACCTTTTAAAAAACCATTTTAATGTAACAGTAATAGAAAACAAATGTATTTTCCCCCCTTTAAACCCACTTGCAATACTCAGCCTTCTGACCTGGAACTCAAGAGTTCAGCTTGGATATATTTACACTCTACCGACCTGCTGCTGTATTTTTAGCACTGGAAATACTATACTGTAAAGTAGAGCTGGTAAATCAGCCATTGCCTTACCATCCTGAAACAAACACCTGGAAAAGAAGGAAAAACACAGTAAAATAGTTTGAAGGAATGCCACTTTCGGGAATTTCACTTCATATGTATGTATTTTATTGTACATCTAAGTCACCTGCGGTCATTTCTTAGAGAAGTTTTAAGGAGGAGCTACTGAATTTTAACATCGGGCAAAGTTTATGGAATTTGGGTACAAGCCGGCCTTGGGCCTCCCCCTCGGCGAACGACTACTTCCATTAACACAGACAGCACATGCAGCTTTAACGAAGGCGTTACATTAAAGAAATCGCCTCTGACTTCATTTTCACCTCTAAGTTTTGCTGCCTAAGCCGGGAAGGAGGCGGTGCTCCCACGTAACCGCGCTGACAGAAAGTGCTTTAGACAGAATGAAACCGGTGAACCTCACACTGGTGACATATTCACCCCTCATCTCATCTCATCCCATCCCCTCCTTGCTGCGGCCACCGCCGCCTCAGCGCATGCGCGGCCCGCAGCTCCCGCCGCCCCTCACCGCCCGCCCATTGCCCCTCGCCCGTCTTCACCTTGCACTCGCCCGAACACTTCATAATCCACCGACTTGAGCGCGCCGGAGGCCTTGGCCACGGCGGACATGGCAGCCGCGCCGCCGGGAACAGCCGCTGCTCGCTGCGCTCCGGACCGCGGCCGAGCGACGGCACCGGACGGGAGCGCGCAAGGATCAAGCTTCCCGCGTTCGCGGCCGCCTCACGCCAAGGGGGCGGTGGGGAGCATGACCCCCGCACACAAACACACCGGGGACGGCCCGTGAGGGACCCGGCCCCGCAGCGCTGAGGGGAGAGCAGGCAGCGGCGGCGTGTCCTGAGGTGCAGCGGGCCCTGCAAGGCCCTTCGTACTTCGTGTATTTGAGGTTAGAACGGCGTTAAGAGAGGAAAGGTTTGGACGAGGCTGTCTCCTTCAGGGTTGTTGCAGTAGGCGTCTGCGCCCAGCTGGGTTTCCCCATCTCAAGCATCAGGTAACCAGCATTAGCCTTGTCCAGGGATTTACAGGAATTATTAAAACAAGAAATATTTCACATACATGGCTGAACTGAGGTAATTTTTGACTGATAAAGTGGGAAGTTCAGCAGTTGAAAGCTAAAACATACAGGAAAAGCAGGGCCAGCGAGGGGCTGGGCTCCTCATCTGGCAGGGCATGAGGGGAGATGCAAGCCCACCTCCTGCAAGCTCTCCAGCAAACCTTCAATGGTACCTATTAGTGCGCCTGTTTTCATTAGCAAGCCTTCCCAGAAGCATTGACATGTAATTTCTTTTATGTAGATGCTACATGTGCAAAAATACAGAGCAGAAATTGGTTGTTTAATGGGCTGAGTCTCCAACCAAACACCACAGAGATCTTTGCTTAGTGTTTTCTGTCTGCTTGCAAGTTTAATGCCCCCTCGTCTGCCTTTCCTGAAACACCCAAGTGTTTTCAGGCAGAATCCTACAGCTTATAACCAACTTCAGAGCATGAGCTCAGCCTGCGCTTACCAACACATAAAAGCAAGTGAACTGTGACTTTACACTAAATCTCATCTTATTTGCTGCCTCCATGAGGCAATTCCCTCCCACACACCACTTCATGTCCTAGCAGTAATGCAGCATAACCCTTAAGTTAACTTAAGGGTTGCTTATCTGCTTGGATCTCAAGACAAGAGGGCTGTTAATAGATAGCAAAACATGAAATTGTTCTCCTGAGCACATCAGTTAATGATGGAAACAACATTCAAGCCAATGCAGAACAGAACTAGTCAGAAGATTTCCAGTACCACAGGGAACAGGAAGAGAACGGACAAAGTGTCATCGTTTGCTTTAACTGCACAACGTGTTAACCCAAACCTTTGCCTTGACAGGGATTATACGTTTCGCTGGTGTGGCATCAGCACCATTTTGTTTTTGAGGGGGAGGATTCTACAGAAAGAGGAGCAGAATGCAGCAGAGACAGAAACTCCCCTGTCATTTGCTGCCATCTATCAGCAGTGAAGAGCAAGGCAGGTAACAAATAAACGTACAATAGAGCCTATTTACAGTACAAAGCATTGTAACACAAGCCTTTAAACCAGAGCTTGTTCTGGTATGATTACACTGTCCTATGTGCAGATTCCAGTGCTGGCAATGTCAGCCTTTGTTTTAGCAAGAGAATCTTTGACGTTTCAAGTTGAGTTCTCAATGTCACTCAGGTCTCCTACCTGAACTGGCTTGTTCTCAGCATGGGGACCCCATTCCTGTGCCTGTCTTTGAGAGCTTCTAGGCTCAGATATACTCTTATCTCCAGTCTTCCTATTGTTATTGTCCTTTTTCTAACAAGTCAGTTTAAGATTTTTTCATTTGTTTGCAATAAGAACCTTTTGCCACTCCCCCTACACAAATCTGAGTTTTTCATTATTTTCACCATACAGACCCTGAAGAACTCCAGAAGATGATACCATGAAACATCTAACACTTTACAGTCAAAGTAATCAGTATTAGTAATCAAACAGTATTCAAGTACCCCAAGTAACAAGAGAGCTTTATCATATACTATCACTAAATGGTTTGTGTTGGAAGGGACCTTAAAGCTCCTCCAGCTCCAACCCTGGGCAGGGACCCCTTCCACTGGAGCAGCTTGCTCCAAGCCCCTGTGTCCAACCTGGCCTTGAGCACTGCCAGGGACGGGGCAGCCACAGCTTCTCTGGGCACCCTGTGCCAGCGCCTCAGCACCCTCACAGGGAAGAGCTTCTGCCTAAGAGCTCAGCTCAGTCTCCCCTGTTCTGGCAGGTTCAAGCCATTCCCCTTGGCCTGTCCCTACAAGCCCTTGTCCCAAGCCCCTCTCCAGCTTTCCTGCAGCCCCTTTAGGCACTGGAGCTGCTCTAAGGTCTCCCCTTCAGGAGCCTTCCCTTCTCCAGGTTGAACCAGACCAGCTCTCTCAGCCTGTCTATCAAGAAATGTAGACACCCTCTGTGAACTTAATTAAGTTTACCCCATTTTCAGCTGGTTACTTGGGGGGGGGGGGCTAAGAAGAATTGGCTGGTTGCACACAGCTACAGGCAATTGTAACAAATGCTGAACACCTACCTCTGTCAAGGCATAAGATATATTCTTTGATTATACTGCAGAGGAATGCAAATGACTAAGAACATTTCCTGCAACAAACAAATTATTGCACCTTTAGAATGAACTTGAGGACGAACAAGAAAACGTAATGCTGTAAGATGTGTAGATCATCTGAAGATGAAATACAGAGTCTTTCATACTGATTCCAGCTTTGCTATAACCACATGTTGGATTCAGTTTGCTACTGAGTAAATACAGGTGACCCTTTTTATTACTAAAACAAATCAGCAACAGTCATGATTAATACCTGAGTGAGACATTCAAGGCTGCAGTGAATACATGATGATCATTTTGGTGCCAGTTTGTCCTGGCCTGTGGTACCCACACAGCAATCCCCTTTTTAAGATTCATCTCCTATTTCACCATCCTAATTTCACTTTTCTGATCACTACATATCCTTATTAATTCAGGAATGTGCTAGCCAGCTTTTATTCCTCTGTCTCCTTTAGAAGTCATTGTTTTGTGTTCATACAGATTGGCTTCCACTACCAGCAAGCACAGTGTCATCTAAGAACAATTACTACAACTTTAGCTTTCACAGAAGGGCTTCTTTATTCTGAAGGCTGCTTAGAAAGGTGCTTTATTTGGCAAGTTTCTTGAAATTGGGGGAAATTCTATCATTAATAGGTCCAAGATGACAAATAGGTTATCTGCCTCTACTCTGAGCATTAAGCCTTTAAAAAATCCTCCCAGTACTTGCTCCAAATGCAGGAAAAGTTTTCCCACTACTCTGTTTTTAATCATAACATAAAGAAGGATAAATTTAAGAATATCATTATTTGAAAACACCTAGAACCTGCTACATAGCAGCCAAACATCAGGGAACAGCACAACTGCTGCTACACAAGGAGCCAAGGGTGGTCCTAGCATTAAAGTGACACAGTTTTAGAGTACCTGAGCAGGGCCAGCAGAGCCAAAGGCTAGCAGCAGGATGCATCCAGAGGCAGCAGAAAACCAGAAACACAGCTACAATGTAGAAAAAAAAAGGTATCCTAGAGGTAAGGCTGAAGTCAGAGCTAAAGATTAATTCACCTATGACTTAGGAGAAATGAACATGCTCAGCCCTGAGCTTAAATGGACTTCCTGGAGCAAGGAGCTGAGGGGGTGTGGTTGCTCAGGTGAAGCTGGTCAGGTCAGTTAGAGCTGTTGATGCCCTTAACACTGACCACTATCGATAACAACTGTTTAATAAAAGGATCTCTTATTTATCAAGCTTTTGCTTTGGTTGTTATTTTGAAAGTTGTAGCTTCATTATTTATGCTGTTTGTTCATCTCTGGCACAGAATAGTTGGAGAAGCATTAAAACCTTATTTTCTTTGAATACCTACCACTACTCCTGCCTTCTTTCTGTGTGGCTGTCACCTCACACCCCCATATCCACTCAAGGTTTTCCACTCCTAAAGCTACTATCTTTAGCGTACACACAATGTCCCATCAGGCACATAACCTCCCACTTCACTGTCTTAATTCATCCCTCAGCTTGTAACTATGCTGCTATTCTTCTGCACCATTTTAATTTAAAGGGCTCCTCCTCAGTCCTGTCTGTGGTTGCATTTCTGACCTCCTGCCACCTTTTTGTAGACTTTCTTGCACGATCTACAAACTGTTAACATTCCTGCCTTTTCTTTGGCATTCTGGATCTCTCACCATCAATTTCCTAGCTGATATCTTCAGTTGCATATTTTCTTAAGAATTTTTAATATTTGGGCATTCTGTTTTATCACTGTTTATCTGAACCAAGCTCTAAACCTGATTCCCTTGCTGGTCCCCAGCTGATTTTGATGAGTGGTTTCCAAAGGATACCAAAGCCTCTAGATACAAAGAGCTGCTGCTGTTGTTGCCTGGTTATTGCTGTTACCTAGGGAGCACTGAGCACCCAAGAAGAGGGTTAGAAGCTATGGAAGCTTAGCTTGTCTTTTCTAGTTTCTCTTTTTGCTTGTTTTCCATCAAATGCAATATGTGTTTGTCTCTGGTTTTTATTCTTTAAAATAATGCCCCGTCCTTCCTTTATGTTTGCTTCTTCAAGCAAAATGATAAGACCTCTACTTTTTTCACTGGCCTTCCTTTTTCCCTTGTTCCCTTATCACAGTTTCTTTTCATAAACTGTATTCACGCTCAATACTTTACTTCCAAATATAAAGTAATAGGATTTCCATTTTTACACCATTTGTTTCATGCTTGTACAAACTTCTTCAGGGTCTTTATTTTGTTGTCTCATTTAAATCGTATCTAAATATACAAAAACTTTTTGAAGGTTTAATCTTGACCAACTGTTCAGTAAGATATGGCCTTGTTTCATCCTGTCAGTAGCTGTTGTATTTTCCTTAGCTGTAAAGATTAGATTTAGAAGCCTGAAAGACAAGACAGGCACACAGTGTGATTCTTGAAGTGCCTTAGCCTGCCTTCTTCAGTACAAGATGTAAAACAATGATTTGTTGCAAAAGTAACAAATAGGAATGTTCTAATCATGCAGAAATAAATGCAAAATAACTTTCATTCCCTAAACTTCAGCAAAGACAGTGAAGGGTTTCTAACCTGTAGGGGGTTTGCCAGGGCCATTACCAATAGCCATGAGCAGCTTCTTCAGAGGAAATTAAAAATCAAGTATAGTGGTTGTGAAAGTGTCAACTGAAGTAAAGATCTAAGCTTTAGATACTTCACATACATACTGTAGCGAGTCTAAGCCCTCTGTAGAAAAGTGTAGGAAAAGGGTGTGCGTGAAGAGAGAACATTTAGACACAAGTTAACAAGCCAAAAACACAAAGTAGTGTTTGGCAAAAAAAAAAAAAAAACAACAAAGTCTCATGTTAAAATAGAACAGCACAGGAGGAAACAGTTTTCTTTAGCTGCATCATAAATGCAAAATTATTTTGTACTGTAGAACTGCAAAACTTAAAATTCAAGCTGTAAATTTTAGAGAATCTTAGAGAACAAGCTACCTGGTTACTTATATTGTAATTATTACCGTGTAACCTAGAGAAAAGTGTTAACTGAATGGTTTAAAAAACTCCTGTGTTCAGTCTTGGAAGAGGAAAAATACAGATGAAAGATTGCTGAAGTAATAATGTGTGGACAAAAATCACAATTGTAGAACATTTGCTTGCTGGTTGACTGACTAAATACATTATAGATGTATCAACGGGACACCCATCACACAGGCAGGTGACTTGGCTACAGCAGTTGTTTCCTGACCCAACTCCAGCAATGTAACTGATGTGGGAGGACCCCACACCTGTGCCAAGGCCCACTGCAGCAAGTGCAGTGTTGTGCATAGGAGGGGTCATGCCCACACACATCACATTGGAGGACTACAGCCAAACCTTGCATGGATGGCACCTAAATTTGTCCCTCTCATGCTCTATAATCCTGGGCTGCTTATATAAAGGAACTCAAGTTATATGGTGACAGATATGAAACTGTGTCAGTCAGGAAGAAGTTGATTCTTCATGCAAAGTGTTAAAGTTCTTCAACATAGCAAGCAGGTTTTTTGGAGTTGTCATGATCTCTGTTTTACCTGCATTATCATTTAGCAAATTGAAATGTCAAGTTCCCTGAGGTTTTACTGGAGACACCAGTGAGCTCCAAAGGAACAGGAGGTGCAGAGGGACTGGGGCTCAGTGAAGAAGGGGAGCCCAGGCCTCCTTACAGTTAGAAGGAGCACATGAGGAGTCTTAGTCACATAGCTTGATAGGAGAGCAGGAAATTTATCTGACATTTTATTAAGTATTCATTCACAGAAAAGTCATTAAAATTTGGGGAAATATATTGACTGAGCTGCTGGTGCTGATTATATTTTATCTTCTTATGTAATACACTGAGGGGGAGATGTGGTCATTTAAAGCAATTCGTTCTTTATTCCCTTTGAAATATGGGAAATTCAAGCACCACCCTTCCCACAGCCACTAGAACAATGATGTCAGATTTCGTGGAGGATTTAGGGCTCTATAAAAGACCTAAGAAAGCACAAAGGAGTGTGGGCTGGGAAAGGAATGGTTCAGAATGGAGGTGGGTTGACAGCTGTTACGTTTTGCAGTTCTATGAAACAACTTGATTCATTCTCATTAGCTGCATTAACCCACCATTTCTTCTCAAAAGCAACAAAAAGAAACCCTAATTAGTGTTTCAGCATCTTGCCATGTGTTAGTGGAGCCTGTGTCATCAGGTATTTCAGTCCACTCATACTGAATTGATTACCACTTCAGTTCTTGGGACTGGATAGCTTCAAAAGCTTAATTTGGGCTGAAATAGATAAAATAAGTGATTTGCTATTATTACAGGGGTATCTGAGAACAAGTGATGTCCAGGCAACTGCTGTTGGAGTGGGGGGTTGGAATAGCTTCTTAGATTTAGCAATAAATATTGGCATATTGTCATTTTAATTCAGACATTTCTCTGGGAACATAAATAGTCTGTTCTAAACATTTTCTTTAAGTTCCCATAATGCCACTTCCTTAAACTGGTATATTGAATTATTGTTCTGCTAGAAAATTAAATGGTAAGTTAGTAATAGCAATTAGAAGAAGCTGATATGCTCATCTTGCTAAGATAAAAAGAGAGAAACCCTGAACAGCACTAAGTCCATAGATTGCATCTATATCGTAACACATAAAAACTCTCAGATGGTTTCATATGGTCCTTGTGTTCTCATTTCATTGCTCCCCAGTACACGATCTTGTTCTGCTAAGAGTACGCTGACCAGAATCACAATCTTTTCCTGAAGAGGTGATGTTGCTGCATTCATGGTGTGTATCTGCCTGTTACCTCCCATATCTTTCTCCAGGTTTGAATCTGCTGACTGACTCTGGTCAAATGAAAAAAGCATGTTTAAAAGACATTAACATGTAATGAATTGGGTGAAAATCAGCATCTGGATGAAGGAAGATACTCTCTTGCCTTTGAAAGGTGGGATGAAGCTCTAGAAATACACACCACGTTATCTAGATGCAGCGGACAACCCTAATGCCTGCCACAGGTATGAAACAGACGCCTACAGTAGAGTCATGCATGCCCTCTCTTTTGTCCTAAGGTTGCTGCTGTCAGACCCAAACATCCATCCATTCTTATACCATAAAAACATCAGTAGTTCTGATCAAATGGGAGGAATCAGCAATAATTCAAATCAACTTGAATGCTTTTGAGGAATCACTGGTTATATGGAAAAGGGTGATCTGGTGGATAGCAGTGTTTCTGGAGTTTTAAAAAGCTTTCGACAGAATCCTGCATAGAATTACTCTGAGCAGTGCCACTCTGAAGAACTGTAGAAGTATTTCAGTAACTAAATGATTGGGCATGGAAAAGTCAGACTAAATTCAGTGTTATTAAACAAAGACATGTGCAGAGCAAAGGCACTGCAAACTATGCAAACACAGCTTGGTTTCTAGATGAGCCATTTATTATTCAAGAAACCAGTTCTGGAGTTAATGTGCACAGTTTTATAAGAAGATCAGTGTAAGGCCCAGCAGCTGTCAAGGAAAACCCTTAGGAGAAGAATGTTAACTGAAAGCAAAGCAGAAAATAACCCACAGGTCACTGTGCAAACCCTGCAAACCACATACCCTGTTCTAGCCATTCCTCACCCCAAAATCAGCAGAAAAGGCAACAGACAACATCAATAAGGACAATATGAAGCCTGAAACAGCTTCATATGTTGGAAGGCTAAGCAGAATAACACTATCCTGTGTCTTCTTGAAACAGAAGACTATTATCGTGTCCAGCAGAGGATACCACACAGGTCTGTGTAATCATAAATGGTCAATAGCCTCATTATTTCTCACATATGAGAACTCATGGGCATCACACAAAATTACCAGGTAACATCTTTCTGGCAAACAAAAGGGAACAACTTTTCTTACTGTGCATGAATGAGAAAATGCAGCTGCAGAACATCAATGCCAAAACATAATGAGCTGAAAAAGCAGATGAAGGAGGAGATGAAAACCCAATTTAGCACTATTAAACGTGACAAAATAGCTTGTGACTCAGGAAGTCTGTCTGTGAGCTGTACAAAATGGGGAGTGTGCAGAGGGGAAGTAAAATTGTATGAATGCCCAGTTCTTAGTCTTTAGTTCTTAGTTTTAGGCTTGTCACAGGAAACTGTTCTTTCATGTTTCTGCAGTAAAGACTGAGGCCAGCCTTAGAGAAACTGAAAGCTTTCCTGGAAAAAAAAAAAAGAGATATTTGCATGGGCTGGAAGGAGAAAAAGGCACAGAGGCTGGGAATGGAATGGGAAAAGAGGGGAATATCTACAGTCTGAGCGCAGCAGCTCTGTACTGCAGAGGTGTGCTCAGCAGTGAAAGCACATCAAGCTGTTGTGCGCTCTGTCTGCTTGGTAACATCTCTGGTATGCCTGACACCACCCCAAATTCTCTTTCCTCCCAACTTCCCATTTCAGAATGCCCTGTTGTTCAGAGGTGTTTGTTTGCTGGGGATTACCAGAGTGGCTCTGACCCAGTTTCTGTTGATTTCAATGGCTGCCAGGCCTCCTGCTGATACCATTCCTGATGCTGATGACCAATCCCTCACTCAGACAAGGGGGCTGGAATCTCCAAGGACAAGTGTTTTTCCAACCATGTCTCATCAGACCTTTGAGTGAGCAGATTAATTCATAGGACAGTTATGGGATTTGAGGATGTATTTGGCAAAGCCAGGAAAGCATGAATCAGATTCTGCATTCATCCACTGCAGTATTGCTGAAAAAGAAAACACATGGGGGCTGCAGATAGCGGTATCACTGTGTGAGGATGTAACAGTTAACACTACTGCATTGTCCTGCAGAGCTGTCTTTTGAGATTAGAAGCTCTCTTTTCTGCTCTTTTTGTTCAAGACAGATTCTCTTTCTCACTTGATTTTTTAAGCCTCCTTAGTTCTTTCACCCACCCAGTTCTTGGTACTTTGCCCAGCAGAAGGGCAGCTTCTGGCTTTATTCTAAATATGGCTCAGTTTCCACTGGGCTTAGCCTTTAAGTTACAATATACAAATGTGGCAAAAGTGACTTTGCCCTCTCCCTGGGGTTTCTCTGGATTTCCAGTCCTATTGTGTTCCTTAATTAGAACATTCCTTCTATCCTAAATGGCCTTTTTGACAGTTACAATTCCAAGAGGTTGTTATGAAGCGTTAAGTTACAGTCATTGTTCCACCTTGAACTGTTCTTAATGGGACACCCGACCAGAATAAACCCACCAATTCACAGTTCCTTAAATCGCAGTTTTAGTCCCTGACACAGACACAATTATCCCTGTGTTACTAGGACATGGGCACAACCAACTTGTCACATTAGCCCAAATGAAGGCTATTTATCATTCATGTTTCATGTGAGCCTCTCCCAGGTTTGTTCATCTGCTTCTTGTCTCCACAACACCCCCTGAGAGAAGCGGCTGCTTTAGAGATGTGCCAGAAAGTCTACTGTGCAGATTCAATGCATAAAAGCCTGGGGCCAGAAGCAAAGTATGAATCATTTTTCAGCAGGAGAGAAAGGATTGGTGGCTTCAGGGAATGTTGAAGTGAGTTTGCCTCTCCTCTAGAATTCATAAATACTTAATGTCTCTGATCCACACATTGAAACAGTGAACACAAAATCCTCCTGAAGAGTTAACGCGTGAACAATCACTTGAGCTATGGCTGTGATAAACACAATTATTTGTGCTGAATGCTGCTTGAAACAAGATGGAAAACCTGAACAAAGATTTTTGGCTGTTATTTATCCTGTGCTGGGAAAACAGATCTTACACTTTTTTTCTTTATTTTTTTGATAGACACTGCCAATTTCTTCTCCTAACTGGAACAACATGGAAGACCTTATATGTTCAGCTAATGCCTAATTCAAAAGTGGAGAGACTGCAGATATTTTAGGATGAGGAGTTCACAGCTTCCATCTATCAGTGAGATCCAAAGGGGTTTTGAAGGCTCTTCTAAAAGAAAATACAGTTTTCTAATGCAAAGCAGCGCTCTGCTGTGTGTGATACGCCACTGAAGTCAACAACAAGTGGGATACTATCAAACAAGTTGGTATTTCACAATCTGTTCCTATTCTGAAAGATAAATCCTGCCCAGGGAAGTTACATAGAATTGCCTTTTAGCTCACCTAAGAACTGGAAAGAGACTAAAATGAGAGAACTGACAACTGCAGATGAAGATGCAACAGATGCATTTACCACTGAAAATAAAAATACCATCATCTACTAAAGCCATTAAGGTGAGGTTTGCTACAACTCAGCTTTGGCAACCACAGAGTAGCTGTGTGAACTAGCAATGTCCATGGTGTGCAGTGTTGCCATGGGACAGTGTTGCTCTGATTTCCTAGAAGAGCTGGATCGTTCATGTTGACCTTTGCAAGTTCACTGTCATCACATGCTCCTCTGCAGCTGATTTCTGTTTGGCAGGGCTATGAGACAGAAAAAGCCACCTCAGTGCCTCAAGAGGAGAGAGAAAAAGTCTCTTTCCCCCAAGTTGGCTGCATTTATTTCATATCCAAAGAATTGTTATTTATTCCAGATAGCTGCAAGTAATTTGGAGAGAAATCAGCAGGAAACTCCTATAATGAGGCTCAAGTCTATCATATTTTTTCCCTGCAGGCATAACAGTTTCCAGGGATATATTCAGGAGTTTCAGATATGTAAAGGAAACAGACTGTCAAAGTCAGATTCGCTTGTGTGGATTTAAGACGATTTTGCTTTCCGTATCTTAGTCAATAAGACACCTAAAGAACAAAGCCAGGGAGTGGAGGGGGAAATAAATTTTGCTATAAATTAATTTATTTCACCAAGCTGAATTTTTCTCCTGCTCTTATAGTGACTGTCCAGTCTTGTAAGAACAGGAACCCACCAACTTTAGCTGGGAAAGAGTGAAGGCCAAATAATATCTTGTGAACTGATATACCTGAGGATGGATTTAACTGTCATAAACAGAACGCTGAGAAGGTAAAGGATAGCAGTGTTACCCATATTCAGTCAGCCTTGTAGGTAGTAAAGCTGTACAGATTATACAGGTGTGGTAACATTTTAATCCCTTCACAAGTGCCTTTTGTTTGTACAGGCTAAACTGAGAAACGTTCCACTTCTGTTGGAACATGTGTATCTAAACAGGCATTACAGAAACAGAACAGCATCTGGGCCACTCACTACAAGAGAGACGCTGAGGTGCTGGACAGGGCCAGAGAAGGGCAACGGAGCTGGTGCAGGGCCTGGAGCACAAGTGTGATGGGGAATGGCTGAGGGACCTGGGGGGGCATTGGAACAGGCTGCCCAGGGCAGTGGTGGAGTCACCATCCCTGGAACTGTTCATACACCATATAGGCAAGGCCCTCAGTGACATGAGTTAGTGGTGGCCTTGGCAGTGCTGGGGAATGGTTGGACTTGATCTTAGAGGTTTTTTCCAACCTCATTGATTCTATGATTCAGTATATGTGCTTTAGGTGATGGCGAACCACCTTCCCATCCAATCTGAAACATGCAGTAGAGTATTTAGGCAGCCTTACTTTAGGGACCTAAAATTAGTTCCTCTGAATCACGCTTCAGAAGAACCTATTTTTGTCCCATGGGATACAGAAAGCTTAAGTTCCTCAGCACCTCACTCAGATCCTGCAATCACTCTTGCCCCATGCTCCAAATAGATGTAATCTCTGTCAAACAGAAGTTTGTGCAATAGGTGTGCTTATGAGTTGTAGTCATACTGACTACTATTGAGGTGCAGCAGTGGTTCTCATATTTTTTCTTAATAAAGCAAAGGAGGTCATATGTCTCTTGGCGAGATATATCTAGGTACAAACCAGCACAGATACGTTGTTTTTAAAATCAGTGTTTCTTTGGCTTAAAACTACTGATTTAAGTCACTCCTGTGTTTCAGAAGATGGGTTAGAGTGACTAATCCTACTACCATCTTGCTCACACAACTGCAGTTGACTTCCTAGGGGCAGGAGTAGGTGTAATTACTGCTCATCCCTGTTTATACCACGCAAGGAACTGCTACTACCCAAAATCTGTAGAGCCACCCAGTTTCCCGGGGACAGGGAATTAAAGGCTTTCACAGCAGGCTGCAATTCCGGGCTCTTCTCAAGTCCCCGTGCTGAAGGGATGGAGCAGTTCCTTGTGGTGAAAATGCCCTTGTTAGTCTGAAGACTTGCAGCCAGGAATCACAGATGCTTCTTCCCGGAGAAAGGAATTTCCTGCCATCTTGCCTGAAAGCTGGTGAGCAGAATGGCAGCAGCTTTTTCACTCTCTTTGGCACCTTCCAGTGCCTGCTTTGGATGAGTGACCAATTTAGAAACCCAGGGATGAGAGGAAGTCTGAGGATCCTCATCACTGACACCGCCAAAAAGCAAGCTATTCTTCTTTGCTTCTGCAATGGGGCTCTTGGAGATATGGGGGTCACAGACCAGGATAAATGGGATGCAGGTAACATGAAGCTCCTATTGGACTGGGTTTTCTTTTACAAACTGTGTAAAATATATTGAAGTCTGTCTCTCGAAAAATGACTCAGGTTGGAAGGGACAGATGGGTCACTAAGCAAAATGTCTATATAAGAAAAGTAGTCGCTTGGGGGCTGAGAGAGCATAAACCATGGTTAAGGCTGAATGACAAGTTCCCTGAATAGCAGTGACAGTGCTGGTGGTGCTGACCAAAGGCAGCAAACCATCCAAGGAGGGAATGTGTGAACACTTCACAACGTGACTTACGCCACCGCCAACAGTCCCCAGTTCTCATGAATGGGAAGATTGTATTTTCTCTTTCACAACTACAGCACTTGGATTCATCAGTTCTCAGGATTTCATGCCAAAACCAACAGGTTGCAGCCATATTTGGGCTGCTCTCAATTCATATTCCTCCTACTTAATAAGAGATGGAAAAGCTGTGGATGCAAGTAGCACAGACGGGTTCCTTGTTAGGAAAGCGAGCCCCTCGTCATATGACTGTGGAACGAAATGTGCTTTTACACACTCTGCCACCAAAACACATTGCAAACTTGAGGAACAAACTTATTTTTGACTCACTTGGCAAAACATGTCTTTTTTTTCCGTTTTAAGTAGCAGAATGCTAGTGTATGGGGGGGGAAAGGGGAAGGGTTATGGTTTTAATAACTAGTAAAAGGGATTAGTAAATTAATCAGCTATGCAGGAAATACTTTCAGAATGCAAGTACTATATGTGTACTTACTGCTGTAATTGTGGCTGGATTCAGAATCAATGTTTTCCTCATTTCAGCCTCTGAAAATCATGTTTCTGAGAACACAGAGGGCAGTTTAGTGCAATGACCACCTCAGGACTCTGCGTGTTCTCCCCCAAAAGGTAAGAGTTTAATTCTGGTGAAAGGCAGTGGTGTGTCTGGGATATGACAGTCACAGGTTGGCTCAGACCAGACAGGCTCCCTGAGCTCAGAGGTGCTTGTTCACAATGCAGAATACTTAGAAATGTGTGAAAAATCAAGCCTCGGTGTCAGGATTAGAAAGGGCAGAATCTCCAGAGGTATTTTTCTATGATAAGGTGGCTATAAAGCAACAGAATACAGCTCTGAAGTCCCCTGTATCTGCCAGCTTCCATTTCAGAACACTGACTGTCAGTTTGTTATTTTTTTTCCTCCATGTCCAAACAAACTCTGCATGCTTCAGATTTAATCAATGCTTTGCACATTGGAAATGGCTGTTCAGACAAACCACTGTTACCATTAAATTGGAAAGAAGAATTGCCCATAGATGACAGAAAATAAGGAAATGATTCAGACTCTTTGGTTTCAAGGTGCATGTATTTTCACTTATCCTTAAACATGGGGGGGCTATACAGGTTCTAGGCCCATTATCCATTTTATCCATGTCTGAATTGATGATAAAACTGTTTTGTAGTGTTCAGCTACTCCTGTTTTCACCACCAAAACACTAAAATGATAACGAGGGATGTGGAGCTGCTGGAGTGAGTGCAGAGGAGGCCATGGGGATGCTGCGAGGGCTGGAGCAGCTCTGCTCTGGAGCCAGGCTGAGAGAGCTGGGCTGGGGCAGCCTGGAGAAGAGAAGGCTCCTGAAGAGGAGACCTTAGAGCAGCTCCAGTGCCTAAAGGGGCTACAAGAAATAATAGTGAAGTCCAAGTATTTTGTACTAATGTAAAGAGAGATAGAGATGAGATTATGTTATACAAAATCTTCAGGGAATGGAAGGGTGTTCCAGAAGTATTGAACACTGAACAGAATCACTGTGATTCCTTCAGTAAACCAGAGTAGCATGACTCTGCTCATGAAGGCTTAAGTGACTATAACACACAGGATTGTTCCCTGTGTCCCCTGCAACATGGACTAGAAATAATACCCGATCCCAAAGGCACGTAGAAGATGGTATAAACGTGCTCTTCAGGAAAATGCCATGACAATATCTGCACACTGTGGGCACTGCTGGCCATGCCTAAGCTTCCTGTGGCATTTCTCCTCTCCCTAATGTGTTTTCAGCACTTAGTTAGCCATGTTTGGGGGATTTTTGTAATATTAAGCAGGGCTAGTTTGAGCATAAAGATCAGAAAACAGGATTTGCCCTTGTCATTAGCTTTAAATCTAATCAGGGAGCAGCTGTTGCACAGTCACACATCACTCTTGAGGGGAAATTGTATTAATTATATTTAGGACAGCTGGGGATGACTATCAGCACTGCTGGCACCGTTATCACACCCCCACGACAAGCTTCATCCTGCACCCACGGGCTCGCAGCAGGACCAGGCACCGTTGAGCTCTCCTGGCTGGTGGTGTTATTTCAAGTAAGCCTCTTAGAGAGCAGCACAATCCGCTGTCAAACCCTGTGGCCAATTATGTCCAGCATAAAGTCCACCCCACTAAACATTACAGCAAGTTTTTGGGGGTGAAGAGTGATGTATGGATTTTGGCTGGAGCTCTGCTGGGAGGTTAATGGTTTTTATTCTTAAGTAGGTGTTTGCATGGAATGGTTTGGGTTGGAAGGGACTTTAAAGCTCCTCCAGCTCCAACCCCTGCCACAGGCAGAGACCACTTCCACTGGAGCAGCTTGCTCCAAGCCCCTGTGTCCAACCTGGCCTTGAGCACTGCCAGGGATGGGGCAGCCACAGCTTCTCTGGGCACCCTGTGCCAGCGCCTCAGCACCCTCACAGGGAAGAGCTTCTGCCTAAGAGCTCAGCTCAGTCTCCCCTCGGGCAGGTTCAAGCCATTCCCCTTGGCCTGTCCCTACAGGCCCGTGTCCGAAGCCGCTCTCTGGGTACTTCAGGCACTGTGAGCCCTCTGGCAGTAGCCCGTTAACCACCCCCAAGGACTCATTCCCCCCGCGCTCTCGCCCGTTGCTCTGTTACCGGGGCCGCGAGGGCGGGCACGGACACGACCCATCCGGTCCTTCCGCCGGAAGTGATCTGCGCGCGGCGCCGTTCCCCGGTGTGTCGTCACGGCGCGGCGTTGGGGCGGCGGGCGCGGCGCGGAGCCGAGGG